ATTTGGCTGTTTATTCACTGCTTGTCATTCAAACCCCAACTCTGCAAAGTTGAGCCATTTTTATCACGTGTAACCATGACTGCTACAGCTGTTCGTAGTTAGGAAATGTGACCGGCTGAAAGTGTAATGATACTTCACCACATTATTGATATTTATAAAACATGCTACACAACTCCATTTAACACTTTTCCTGTTAAGCCAGCGTGGACAGAAAATTAAAAGCACGTTTACGCGTTTCCCGTGATTTGAACTTTAAGCCTTGCAGACGCAACATCAAAACCTGAAACATCACCGTTTTGGGATGTTTCAGAAATCTGACCACCGAGAGCCGATTTCACAAATCCCTCCCAAGATACTAGTAGTAATAATAGTAGTATCTGTCTCGCATCATTCGGTCAGCATCAACAGGGTGAACTACATCAAAGACGACGATATCCTTGGAAGAGGCCCTGAAACTGAGATCAGTTTCGTTCAAATCCTCAGAACTGTGAAATTCAGAACAGCAACTTCAGTCATCGGCTTTAAACCAATGTGGCAATTTACAAATTACTTTACAGTTGGAATAGCTTCCCTGCTAGGCATACAAGCCCACACTGTCAGGATACATGATAGTGTTAAAGAGTCACATTTGATCTGTGATGACTACCTTGCACTGGTTTTGTTTAAAGACGGGCCTGCATACTTTCATCGCCTGCTGTTAGTTACAGGGAGCTGATGGATTGTCTGTCATCTCACTGCATCCTCCTCGTCTCTTCCTGTATTCTTTGTGGTTAGATTTGCAGTGGCAAGTTAAGTCTTAACATATTCCGACTCTGTATGCTTCACCAGCCCTGAATGCATTCTTCACTGACATCAGACATGCATGTGTTCATCCAAAAATAAAATCAAATAACAGGCTTAAAATGACATGGCAAAGCTATTTTGTTCTACCTACAAATGCTTTCTTAAACAACCAGGTGCAAATATTGTGCGGTTTATTTAAACAAATCAATCCTCCTTAAATCCCAGAGCGCAACTCCCAACCACAGCACTAAAGAACAACAGCAGTGAGTTGTGATTATTAGGACCACGTTATCAGCTGTCACTGCGTGACATGAATGCACACTGTGAAATTGCCCGTCTAGACTTGACGTCATATCACTATCCCCACACACACACACGCACACATGCGCGCGCACACACACACACACACACACACACACACACACACACACACTAGAGGTGCCCTTCCCACCTAATCCTTATACCTGACACCAGCCGAGTAACAAATGCTTGTGGGACAAAAGATCAGCAGATTCAAATTCTCAACATGAAGCTAATAAAACAATCACATTAAACGTTCATGAAATAAACACAATGAAAGATGCATGGCAGCTGTACATTGTTTAAAAATGAGAAAGCTAAGTTTTTTTCTTACATCGAGATCCACATTTTTGAAAAATCCAAATGTGTTCTACGAGTACAAATGTTCATAGAATGCATATAGTGTTAAAATACATAAGCACACAACCTTACACTGAGAAAAATACAGACCTCTACCTTTCAATTAGGTACATTTATTTAGCCCTGGTATTTTAAAATCACCAGTACTGCAATTATAACCTGTGTAAAATATAATAATAAACAAATAACCAAATAATTTTTGCTTAATATTTTACTTTGTCAGGCCAGTATCTATGAACTTCTAATTTGCAATGCATTACTTTCTTCTTCTATGAAGATGTCTTAGCCATTCTTCATAGGATTTAGCATACTATTCAAATAAGACAATTGAGTTTACAGTGTAAAGTTAAGGAAATTGTGACAAGAAGACATTTATTCATCAGCATATGTACATGTCTCCAGTTAGAGCAGTTAATAAGGAGTATAGCTGCTCTGATCAAAGATTTCTGACCTCCATGGCAGCCATTTCTTTTGAACCTGTTCAGTTCAGGAGCGTCAGCACTCCTGAAATGTGAATACGTCCTTGCCTCCCTAGCTGCTCTTCTTCTGCGATGTATACATTTATATTTGACTCACAAACTCTTAATTGAGATTGATTTATCAAAATATTGTTTGATTATTATGACAAATATATTTTAAACCCAGCTTAAGTGAAGATGTGAAGAAAGAATGTTGAGCTTTTATTTGAAGTTGTGTAAAATATTCACATTGTGAAATTGTTTATGGTATAATAAATTCATTTTGATTTAGTAAGCAATTTATATCCGTTTCTTATTGTTGGATCGTTACCTACGGGTATAAATGGATAACTATATGAGAGCAAAATACACATTTCTGTTATGATGCTTTCAATATGTTCTCACTTTAAAACATGCATGCTGGCACACCATATCTGGGTTCCCATGTACATATAAACAAATGGTTCTTTGCAGAGCTAATGTGGATCAAACATCTTAAACAGAGTATTTGAATAGTCTTTCAAACATCGGATTAGATTGGATTTAACATCATAGAAGCTATGAAGAGTCTAAAAACTCCAAGACAAATCAAAACAGATGTAGAGCCCAGTTAGAGTGTTTATGTCACGGATCAGGGGTGCAATGCCAGCCATTAATTTGTAGTGCTTTTAGATTGTGTCCACTATTTTATTCTATCTAAAATAAAAATAAAAAATTATGGATAATAGGTGTGACAAAAGTAAAAAAAATAAATAAAAAAAAAACACTCTCCTTTTAAAACTCAGCTTTTTCGTACCTCAGAAACCCGTCTTTCCTCAAAGTGGGTCAGGAAAAAAAAAAAAAAAAACACATTGAGGAATACTTCAGTATGAACTTCTTGTTCCTATACTCACTGAAATGCAAAACAGCATAAAATTAACCTGCCAGCTCGCTTGCTTTACAAGAATATTGTGGTACACCAAGAGTTGAGCGTCAAAATGTACAAAAACACGTCCGTTTAATCAGAAAACAGTCCGAGGAGTTCATTGTGAAAACTTTTTGAGCGTTATGCAACAGCGCCAACACTGTCCACTTCACATTTACGTCACGCACAAACGGAAAAAGAAGTGTGTGCAAAAGATGTCAACATTTATCTTCACACTGAAACTAAACCCAGCATTCAGCTCCAAATAAACAGTAGCCAGTTAAGCTGTCATACTCATGTGCATCATGTGCTTGCTCCTACTCTCTCCAATGCACACACAACAACATAAATCGCTGACATTTTTGTGCTCTGCGTTATTTACATGAGGAGGAGCACAACCGTGGATATTCAGCAGGGGGCTGGCAAACAGAAAAAGAGAACCGATTTCATCTTTCTTTGCTGTGGTGGCAGCCTATACCATCATCTCTAAATCAGAACTGTCATCCGTGGAATGAGTGTTTTGCCAACCACAATAATGTTACCACCACCAGACTAGGCTCAACCCAATCCAGGAAAACTCCTTTTGAAAACCGCCTAATGTGCTCTGTCCAAATTTGGTAGCATCCTTGTTGGTGGTCCCTGCAGTGCCTCTTTGTGTATATGCGAGTCTGAGTTTCACCCTTTCTATTCAGGAGGCTAGTTCAAGTTGAGTCTTATATAAATATGCACTGCACCTGTCATACAGTGAAAACAACACTATTTTTTTTAAACTCTGAACCAAACTAACTAATCTAATTTATCTTCCAGCTGTGGTGCTTTTCAGAGAGACCGAACTCTCTTCAGGCTTCCTTGAAAAACTGCATTTGTTTTGGTCGTGTATTTGAACCTGTATCTCCGCTTGTTAAACAGTTTCTGTGAATGCTGTACATTTCCAGGAATAACAGCGTGCAGATTGTACAACCACTTCAGAAAACCCTAACAAGGTGCAAGATGCATGTGCACACGTGCCTGTTCAGAAGGTGGGTCTTCAGTTTCTACAAAAGCTACAGACAAGATTGCATTTGTGATCACAATTTATTTATTTCAACTTTTTCAGAAAAAGAAAATCTGAATTATGACATTTTCATGCAATTCTTTTTAGTTTGGCAATATTTTTGCTTAAAACCGTCTCACTACTAGCCTCCTTCCGTCCTATAGTGCTTAGGCAGTTGAATTTTCGTATTGGTTGGATCATAAAAGCATAAAAGCACAGCCCCCCCTCAGTTGGAGTAGCAAGGGTTGCCACGGTGACTGGCAAGTATTGATCGATAGCTTTCCTTAAGAGTTAAAAATGTGCAATTTATTTGCAATGTGAACACTGAGTGGAATGGGTCCCCTCTGCTCTGACTATTGGTGAAGCGGTACTGACGAAGCAAGAGAAGCTGTCGTCCTGACCGCAGGCTAGATAAGCATTATGAGATCTTCAATCGCTTGTGTCCTTCTGAGCAAATTTTCATGTTTCATCAAAAGTTTTTGCCAATGGATTTGAGTCCTGATGGATTCAAGAAGGCTGGCGTAATGCTACTGTCTTTAGCACTGCAAGCCTTCTCAAACGCTTTGAGTAGGCTCCTCTGTCAAAGCGATGGTTGTGTTTGAAGTGACTGATGAAATTTGACGTGTTAAGTGTTAAGTGCTGTTTTTCTCCTCATGGAACTTTCTTTCCGCATTTGATACACAAAGCCAGGATATTGTCTTCCTCCAAAACCTTAGAGAAACTATACAGCCTTTATCTTTTCTGTTTACTGGCAAGCTGGACTTCATTCACATGGTGCTGGGAATCCCCAGTTTGGGAGTCATTCTGACAGACTTATGTTTATGTTTCTGTTGTTTGTGTGTACTTGTTATGTTATGTTTTTAAAAACTTATGACCAAGTTGTTTTCTGGCATGAGGGAATTTTAAAATGATTTATTTCCATTCAGAAATATATTTTCTGCAATTATATTGACGCTACTTAAACTCCCAGCATGTTTTCATAGAGGAGTGGGAGCCCTTCATTTAAAAAAAATACAAAATCACCCACACCACCGAACATGTCATCAGAGCTATTCGTTATGATATTGAACTGGTAGGAATGATGTCATAATTTCTTGATATCGGGCCGATAATTATCGTACATCCTTACTTTAAAGGCTCTGAAGGAGAATGTGTTGCTTACCTCCAAGTTCTTTTACATTTAAGATGGCATTTGGAAATGGCACTGCCTTGATGCTGAAACCTGGAAACAGAAAACATAGAACACAAAAGGTAGATTAAGATTTCCTACATAAGTATTTTGCTACATTATTTACAAATAAATAATACTAATAGAAACTCACTACATAACCAAATTGGCTGAGAAGGCTGAGTGTAGATTTTTCTAATGCAAAATGGTTTTCTCACAGACAAAAAAACAAAAACAAAAAATATATCTGAGTTATAAACAAGAACCCCCTTTTTGGTGGTCCAGAGAAGAAAGAGAGATGAAACACTAAACAGAAAAGCACTATGTTGGGTTTATTGGAGAACAGAGTTAATATCTAAAGCATTTCTCTGAGTTATGTGGTCCTTCTTTGTGGGTGTGAATGGGAAACAGAAGAGCCCAGTGAAGAAACTTAGAGAAGAAATAGATTTAACTTGACTCTTTTCAAAACAACTCAAACACATGGAGGCAGAGATGCGGGAAATCGAAGACTATGATTTTCTACAAAGCTAAATTTATTGCCAAGTTTCATTTCAGAGCAAATTACAACAGAGAGAAATATTTGAGTGAAAAGTGAGCAAAGCCACAGGAGATTTATGTCTTCATGTTTCTGCTCTTGTAAACATTGGCAGATGCAGGAGGCAACGACAGTTAACTCTTCTTTGAGAAACGTTCACTGAAATGTCTCTTTGCTAAGGTAGATAATTACCATACTTGATCTGGTGCGGGGTACCAAGCAGGAGGCACAGACAAAGGTTCAAAAACCCCAGAAAAGCAGAGACTTATTGTTATAAGCTGCACATTTGGGAGCTGCTTTATGTTTAACTTCAATGGGACAGACTAAATTTAAGATGGGACTTCTGCAACAGCTCAACGTGGCTGCTGTCAAAGACACAGGGAGGAGGAAGGGAACATCGTTGTTCCTAAGGGACTGCAATGCATATAAGGAAAGCGACGTTCACTACCAGGAAAATTATGTGCACCAAGACAAGATCCTCCTGTCTTCCTAGAAGCACATACAACACCAGCCTCCAAAGTGACTGGAGGAAAGAAACAAAGCTTGGGCTGGTGACATCCTGGCATACTCTCCTGGAACAAACACTGGGAACGTTCTTTCCCTTTGTGGAAAGCTCCCTCATCTGTTAAAAGGGAAATAAATTTCCTACAAGCATCTCCCCACCCAAACAAGACAATCTTAATATTCCATCGGTGCACTGTGATGTGCACTAAGCACATACCTGTTGTAGGAACAATGTTGTCAGTGCTCTCACCGCAGAGCCGCGAGAGCAGGCTGGTCTTCCCAGCTCCTGTCAGGCCGATGCACACCACATCATATTCTGGTCTAGGTGGTGGGGGTCCTTTACAGCACAGTGCCCGAAAACACTGAAATAAAGTACAGAAATCAAAGAATGTGAAGCAGGCAGTACACACTGAGGAGATATGGAGGTGCTGGTCTTATTGAGAGGAATAAATACTGTCAGTCTCGCCTCTTTACCATTTCATACGTTTTGGTACTGGGTGATTTGTGCGATACTTTTCTGGCTACAAAAAAACATAGCTATCAAGTCGTAGCTCCCTTTTGGGAGGTTTCATAATCTACCAATAGTACCAATTCTGACATCAGTTAATTGTAAGTTATTAAAGAATTAACTATGACGAAGAACTAATAAGCATCAATGACCGGAAAAATGAGTAGCACTGATTTCTACTTAATCAGAAAATTCTTCAAAAGAGAAATGAAAGGGGGGATATTTGAAGAACTTCCAGTACAATGAGGAGCAGCTGACAGTGAATCAGCAACAGGTTCTGGTGTGTTTTGTTTCTCTGGTTGCTAACTGTTGTATCTCAGGCCCCCTTCACTCCCAGGCCTTTTTCAGATCCCTCCCCTCAACAAAACTAAGACTGACACATAACTCTAGCCCCTTAATTTAACTTTAATCAAAAACTAGATTTATAAGTTGTCATATTTTAGATAATTTTAGAATGAGGTGTAATGCAGAAGAAGTTGGACAGGTCTTTATTTGAGCATAATAGCAACTGCACAAATAAAAAGGGTTTCAAAGTGAGGAGCTTCAGAGTGCTATTGTGTATATTTCCTTAAGCTGTGTGTGGTTACTTATGCAAGAAATGACTACCAACACTAAGCTTCAGATAATATAACTACCCGAATCACAAAAGAGGAACAATCACAAGTCAGTGCACAGCATCAGTTATTATAACTCGAAGCTACTGATCAGAAATCCGGGTGCAATGATGAACTCAGACATGAACCTTCAGAGAGACAACTGCAAAGTAATCCTATCACCTGAAGAACATTTCTTGGGTTAGAGGACTAATGTCCCAGAAGGATCTAGAGAAACTCGTTCTTATGTTTATTTACAAGTTTTCACCTAAAAATGAATCAGACAGCCACAGCTGATCAACAATCTCACTAAAACTAGGAAAATATAGCACATTATCCCAATTATAAAGTCCTTCTCTGAACTCCCTGTAGCTCAGAGAATAGACTTGGGAGAAAATATTTTTATTATTTTATAAATCTCCAAATGGATTAGCACCAAAATACATTATAGGGCTGTTGTCGTTACATCAACCTTGAAGACCACTCAAGTATTTTGGTTCAAGTCTCCTCTACCTCTCCAGAGTCAGAACCAAAAATAGAAAAGCAGAATCCAGTTTTCTGGATCAAAACTTCCAGAAAACTGAAAAACAGCCGAAACACTGAGTTCATTTAAATAAAATCTTGAAAGTCATCTGGTTTTGATTAATAATAACCCGGGCATTCATCAATATATTGTATATTTGCTAGATAAGGGAATTTTACAAAATTCCATATATTTTCTGTATGTGTATTACTTGTGTCATAATTGGTTAATGTATTATGTTTCTATGGTGTAAAGCACTTTGAACTACCTTGTTGCTGAAATGTGTTATAAACTTGACAATTTTGTCAAGGGCAGTTAAATTAAATGTTCAGTAAAAGTCATAAGGAAAATATTTACTTAATTTGTACAGATTATTATAACCTGTTGATATATACACATGAACAAACCCACCATTAAGACAGATGCAGCTAAGTGGTGGCCCAAGACGTTTTCGTCTGCGTGTTGCACCCTGTCTGACTGGGCCATTACGGTCACTGAGGGCAGACCCTGTCACTCCATGAATCACGGCCTGGGACAGAGTCCCCTGCTGTGAGACATTAGGGAGCAAACGCAATGAGAACCGTGAATGAGATCCTTAAACTTGTGTGTGAAGAGATCAGTATCCAAAACTAAAGAGAGATCTCTTTTATTAGCAAGACAGGAACCGGTCTGGACAAGGCAGAGCGCACACACACACACATACACACACACACACAGCACCCCATCCATCTTGTATATCACATTTCAGGTGGAACATCAACACGGGTTTTTTACTGCTCATGTCAGCAGATGACCTGTTCTACCAAAGACTGTAACAGGAAGAAAAACCCATAAGGGCACGTGAACTTCTGTGCACGTTAAAGCTGATGTGATGGTACTTGTGTAGTTCTATTTATTAAGGATAATTTTACCATAAATTTGTTAACATCTGTCCATCCGTCTCCAGGGCCACATAGGGATTCCGGTCTATGATCAGTAGTGACTAGAAATTAGGCAAAAAACTTAGCATGCACATCTTTACTGCGTTTGATCAGTATGATATTTTGGAAAATGCACAATCTCGATATCAGATAAATGTGGTATGCAGAAGGCGGCAACAGATCAACAGCAACCTTGTTCCAACCCTCGGTTCTTCATCATACCCCCCAAAATATCAGCACCCACAAGGGTCAGTTTTCAGGGCTGCTGTTTGATGGGGATGTGGGGAATCTGCTTCAGCAGAACCAGACGTCGGCGGAGGAACCCGACCCCCCGACTCCTCCGTGAACCCATGCGTCTGCTTAAACAGGAAACATTCTCCTGTTCCAGAGAACGGGTAAGATCAGAAACACACGCATGTCAGATGGGCGAGCACATGTACAAACTTGGTTTAATTAGGTCCTTCTACTCTGTTGGTTGCTCACCTCTTAGTGTCACCCTCTTTCCTTGCAGCTACATGTTACAGGCTTCTGTGGAAGATTAAATCAACTTCTCTGATGTCAATTCCGTGAGCCAAAAGTTAACATTAACGTGAAAAAGGGTGGTAGGCGTATAGTAAGCTATACGACTTATTTATCCACCCTCCTTCGAGTGTAAATCACAACAAAGGCAACAAAGAAGGTTGCGGCCTTACTGGCTGCGTGGGAGGAAACAGAGAGGATTTCACAACAGTAACTAAAGGAGCTTCCAGGGCCTGACCCTGGGGTCCTCATGAACACAGTGGCCCCTGTGAGAGAAAGAGATGGCAGCTCCCACCTCTGGCCTTCTTTGACAGCACAAGATTGACGAGGAGAGCTGCTCAAAAGCCTCAAAGGGGAAAAATAAATATGTCGAAAGGCTTTTGCTTACCTCAAGGCTTGCCCCTGCCCCGACACCCCCACAGTTGATGATTTGAGAGGCAGTGTGCTGTGTCACCGAGACAGAGAGCTCAAATCAGTCTGGCCCGTAACTACCCCCATAAATCTCCAAGTCATCCAGACAAACAGCTGAGATTATATGCAACGTGTACACTGCCTTGAAAAAGTACACAAACCCCTGAAGCTTTCAGATTTTTTATTTTTTATTTTTGTCCTTTCACAACCACCAATGGATTTTAATTCAGTCAACAAACTTTCAGAAGCTTTGAACATCTCGTGGAGTATTCTTAAATCATCCATATCAAAATTAAAAGAGAATACCGCTATTGCAAACCTGCCGAGACATGGCAGTCCACCTAGCTGATATGTTAGGTAAGGAGAGGCTTTATCAGAGAAGCAGTCAAGAGATCCAGTTTAACAATAGAGGAGGTGCAGAGATCCCCAGCTCATACCTCTCATTTTAGAATAAAATGAGAGGTATGCGTCCTAAATGTTCTATTTGCAGTTTGCCAACAAGTCATGTAGGGGAAACAGCAAAATGGGTGGAAGAAGGTGCTCCGCTCAGATGGGACCAAAAATAGCCTGCATTGAAAACACACTATGTGGAACGGAAATATTACACTACCCGTAAAGCCTGAAGAAACAATCTCCACCATTAAATGTGGTGTAAGCCTCCTGCTGTGGCGATGCTTTTCTTAGCTGCTCCAGAGAACCTGGTCAGAGTTGATGGGAAAACAGATAGAGCTAAATGCAAGGTAGTGCTAAAAGAAAAAAAAATGTTAACAGACTGAAAAACACTTGAAATAGAGGTTTAACATCTCCGCAGAACAACCCAAAAGTGTTGGCCAGAGCTAAAATAGAAACATTTAAACTGAAGATTGTTTTGTTTGTTTGTTTTTTGTGTCATGAGCCTAAACACTATTGAGAATCTGATGAAAGACTTAAAATGTCATGTTCATAATCAAATTAATTGAATATGAAGCATTTGGCAAGGAATAAAACCTTTCTGTGTCTAAATATGCAGTTAAATTTGCTTCAAAAGTCAAAGCTGATTAAAAGGGGAAGCCATACGTCTCATAAATGTATTTATTTTTTAAATTAAAAATACATTAAAGGTGGGGAAAAAATATATAATTTCCTTTCATTTAACAATGTGTGCACCATGTTGTTATTCTATTATGTGAAATCAAAAGAAATTAAATTTGCATTGTCAAAAGTAAACGATTTAACATAACTGAAAATCAAGTGCCTTTACTGAAGCTATTATCAAACCCTTGTAAGAGCAAGGGAGTGCAATAAAGAAGGGACAACCATGCAGCTAAAACAACTCCACATATAAAAAGTCTGCCATCCCTAGACATTATTGATTAGCTGCCTCTTGTGGATTTGTTTCACCCGTACTTCCCTGAAAGACCTGCTGAGACATTACCTCACTGTTGTGGAAGCTTATTCGCTGGACTTAATGAAAATGAGAATCATATTGTTTAAGGCCAAAAGCAAAGTGTTTTCTACTCCCTTATATTCTGAATGAAATTGATGCATGGCTGACAAAAGAAAAATGAGCTCTTGGGTTCCAAGACATTTAATGGGTGATATAACTGAGCTTGCTGGCAATGAACCAGAGATCAAGTAGACGCTGATTTTATTAAGACATGGCAATGCTTCAACAATGGAGAACCTACTACCTAAAAAAGAAAGACACAGATGGCATGACTACTGTTGTTACATGTCTCTTGGCTACCGCCACTGATGTCTTTCAATCATGGCAGAGTCCTGTGAACTCAAGTCTGTCAATGCAAAAGCGGCCAACGTACATTATTCCACAAATATTTCCAAAGTAAATCAACTTAATAACTTTAGAAACAGGGTTCACATGAAGTCAATTAATTGCCATCCATCATCG